CATTGCTAACGTGTAGGAACCGAAGTTTGTATATAGGAACCGTATTATACTATTATTACTTTACGCACATATATGATATATCCCCCAGGCCTTATGGACCGGCCCACTAAATAATAAGGATGTAAAATTGTAAATTAGGTAAACTCTTCTAAGTTCTAACTCTTCTCAATCGAGTGAATCACTGAATCGACTAATGGAGGCAGCGTCCGCAACGAGCAACCAATCTTCTCCCGGAGTCGAGCGACCAATCTTCTCCAGGAATCTTCGAGCGAAACTCTCTCCATGAATCAAACTCTTCTAGCTCTAATATTGAACCTCTGAAGTCTAAATCGTGCTCCATCTCTTGGTATTCAAATCTTCCAGGTTTGTCCTTATTCCCTATTTCCTATTATCAGTTGTTAAAGTAATTATCTCTATGTGAGCTGGTAATATGGTTTAATCTTTGAAATATGTTGTCTAAGAAACAAGTTGGAGTTATTTTTTCAGTTGAATTCTATCTAGGGTTTAATGTTCTCTGCTGTAGCATTTCATGATTGTGCATAATAATGAAAAGAAGTCCCCATAGACATTCAAGATTCTCCCATTCCATAGTTTCCTGCGGCAGAAGCACTGGCATCTTTAGTTAGCGGTAGAGTTTTCCCAGGTTTTATGTAGCTCTTGGAAGACAACTGAATGCTGGAAAGTCATTGCCAAGCCTGCATTTTAAATGTATTGTGTGATGTCAAAGCCAAGAGAAATGGAACATGAAACAAGCAAAGTTTAGTTTTTTTTTTCTTGTTTACACATTTTCTCCTTAAACATTATAAACAAGTTGCATATAAAAAGAACTGATTTACTTGCAGATCATTCTAACTTGCAGTGAAGACTAAAGAAAGTACATAGATTATGAAGCTCCGTGTATTTCATCATCATATGAACTATGGAAGTCTACTTTACAGCCAGCTGCCTTAGGATTTTCAGCACCACAGCAGTCATAAAACTTGGCAGCATAAGGAGGGTCATCTGGTCCTAACTCATAGTACCTCTTCTGAACGTGACCTTGTATCTCGTGCAAACCTTCTCTCGTTGATTTACTGTTCCCTCTTCTTTCACCACCTTCTCAGCCCTTTCCATTCTTTACAAATAAATTTAGCTGCTTCTGTTTCCTATTAGGATACAACCATTAGCGCGGTAGATATAGGGAAAAGGGGAAAATCCCCCCTTAAAGTTACCTCTAAAGGGCATCTAAGCCCTTATACTTAATTTTGGAGCAAAAAACTCCCTTTTCCCTAAGCAAAGCTTAGTTCTTATTTATAAAAGCACATAGAAATATACAAGGTATTCAAGTATATCACAAACAAATACACAATAAATACAGTTCACTGAAACAGACAAAAATCCTTATAAACGATACAAGTGCACTTATAGTAATTGTATAAGAAAAAGTTATTTTATCTTATACAAGTGCACTTATATACAATGCTACATACATTTCAAATTTTTATCATTTGTATGTTCTGCAGGTTAACATGGATTCATCAGTGGTTATGATTCTTGATTCTGTCCCAGTTAATGGAAATGGAAATGACAACAATGGAAGTGAAGCATCACCTGAAAAATCAAAAGAAGTGCACACTTCTAAAAAGACCAATATTGATGCATTGAGAAGGAAGAGAAAAAAGAATGCTACTGTAACAAAAGAGAGATCCAAGATCTGGCAGCACTTTACCAAGGTAGATCATCCAATAATCGATATCATTGATGGAAAGGAGACTGTTGTCGGGAATACTAAGAGGGCACAATGTAAGTATTGCCCTACCCACCTTGCTTGTCATTCTACTAATAATGGAACTAGTAGTCTAAGAAAGCATATTGAGAAAGTTTGCACAGGATACCCAGGGAGGACAGATTTAAGTAAGGGCCAAACCCATTTGAACTTTGATGGGTCTGATGAAGTTGTTTTAAATTGGACACAAGAAAATTGTGTCATTGCTGCTACTGAGATGATTGTGATAGATGAACTTCCCTTTAGTGCCATTGAAAGACCTGGATTTAGAAGGTTTTGTAGGGTAGCTATCCCCAAATTTGTCATTCCCTGTAGGAAAACCATTGTGAAAACGTTTTTAGGAATGTATGATGCAAAAAAGGCAGAACTAAAGAAGGAGCTAAGTAACCATTGTGTGTGTTTGACAACTGATACATGGACATCAGTTCAAAACTTAAACTACATGGTTATTACAGCTCACTTCATTGATAATGGGTGGAGAATGCACAAGAGAGTGCTTAACTTCTGTCTCATTCCTAACCATCAAGGGCAAACAATAGGTAAGATTCTTGAGTGCTGTTTACAGCAGTGGGGAATCAAGAGAGTCTTGACTATTAGCGTAGATAATGCGTCAGCTAACAAGGTAGCAATTGATTATATTAGAAAAAAGTTGTCTAATATTGATCCACAACAATTATTTGGAGGAAAGTTTCTACATGTGAGGTGCTTAGCTCACATTATAAATCTGATTGTTAAGTCTGGTTTGCATATGTTGGACAAATCTATAGCTAGCATTAGAAATGGAGTTAGATATGTTAGAAGCTCTCCAGCTAGGCTTGATGTTTTTAAGGGTTGTGTCCAAAATGAAAACCTAAACATCAATAAGGTGTGTGTTTTAGACGTTCCAACAAGATGGAATTCCACATACATCATGTTGGATACAGCATTGCAGCTGAAAAGAGGATTTGATAGGATGGCTGAAGAGGAGGATGTGAGGTGGAAGAGTTACTTTGATGAGAATGAAGATGTAGATGAGGAAGACGAAGAGTATGTAGTTGCAACACCGCGACGAAGGATCGGTCCACCGGCTGAACCAGATTGGGACAAAGCTGTTGTCTTTGTGAAGTTTTTAAAAATATTTTTTGATGTAACAGTGATGGTGAGTGAAATAAACCGCCCCACTTCGCCCAAAGCCTTCCATCACATGATTACGATTGAGTCAGAGATTGAAGAAATGTTTAAACATCACTATTTACCCGACCGAGATGAAGGCGAAAGTGAAATTGAAGGTGAAGCTAAAAAGTTGTTGTCGAGCATGGCTGTGAAAATGAGGAGTAAGTACAAGAAGTACTTTGGATCTATAGATGATTGCAATCAACTCCTTTTGATAGCTCTAGTCTTGGATCCAAGGTATAAATTGTTGAACTTCCAACGAATCTGTGAAAAGATGCTGAACTTGGGTAAGGAAATGGTGAGAAAAAAAGTTGCAGAAGTGAAAGATTTGTTGACCAGCCTAACTGATATATATGCTTCAACATTTGGTACTCAAAGTGGTCAAAAAGGAGGCAAAGTGGTGGAGCAAACTACTGATATTAACAACAACGATTATCTCTCAATTGGTGTTAGCGGAAAGATGGCGGAACTTCTTGAGGATTGGGATAGGGAATTGGAAGAGGGAGACACAGTTGTTATAGGCAATGAAGTAGATAGGTATCTACTTGACCCCATTGAAAAGCCTCATAAAGGAGCTGATTTTGACATACTAACTTGGTGGAAAATTAATGGAAGCAAGTACCCTAATCTGCAATTAGTGGCCAAGGATGTCCTAGCAATTCAAGTTTCCACGGTAGCCTCTGAATCGTGTTTCAGCACCGGAAAGAGGGTTATAGATCCACATCGGAGCTCGTTAACTCCTAGAACTGTGGAGGCTCTAATTTGCCTCCAGAATTGGCTAAAGTCTGACAGTATTCAGGGGCTGGAGTACACTCCTACACCTGAAGAAATGGTGTGGCTTGAAATGGTTGAGAAAGGTATGTATTTCTCTCTCTCTATGTGTAAAGAGAGACATTTTAATCTATTGTTTATTTCTATGTTAAAATATAAAATTAAAAACTTAGATATTATTTTTTTGTGTTTTATATAATTTGCAGAACATGAGAATGAAGAAAGGGAAAAAAAAGAGAAGTGTGATGCAAAAAAGGTGACAAATGCTCCAAAGCCCCTCAAAGTCCAGAAAGTGCAGAGATATGGCGTGGGAAAAGTAGCCAAGAATTGATATATTTTTCTGAAGTGAGTATACTAATCTGTCACCAATAATTAATCATTGATGATGAACTAAACTAGTTGTTTTGGAATTATCTTTTGTTGTTTTGAAAACAGAGTAGATATGTCTTTTTACCTCTATGAAATGCTTTGTTGAAACTGTATTGTATTTACTTGAGCTATTTATTTCAGAATGTTATTACAGTAGAGGTTCCTGTTTTACCTCTATGCTTTTTTACACTTCTTAAAACTGAAGCTAGTTTGTTAGATTGTCAAATATAAAACTGCTTTTTATAGTTATCAACTTTGAATATGTTTTTTCTTTCTCTACCCAGACTATAAAATGTATGAATAAAAGCCCCAACAAGATGCCTAGAATTTATAATGTACATAGGAACTGCTTCACCTTCATTATACTTCAAGGGCAGCAATGTTAAGGACTGTTTTGATGTGCATTCTACATATTCTTTCTTACTTTGTTTTAGGTAGTACTTATTTACCTCTATACTAACAAAAGCATATTTTTTTTCAGGGTTGAAATGCCTATTATTAAAGTCTTGTTGTGCTAGTGCATTGGATACCTAAAACCTTGCTTGCTTGATGGCCGAAGGGATGCATTTCCTTTTATGTTATGTTTAAACATTGCTCTTTTTTCATATGTTTCAACTTTGGTGTTCGTATGATGTAATGGTTAAGTTTTCACCAAATATTGCTTGCTTGGTGTGCTCGTTTAAACTTTAAACATTAACACATTAACTTTTGTTTGGACAATTGGAATTTTATGTTTTTATGTAGTAAGTAGGTTGATTCTTATGTTAAGCAGAGAGTATAAATCAACTTCTAGCAAATTGAATGTTGAATAATGTGATTTCAGTTTTTGAGCAGTTCTTGGGAAAGGTTTAATAATGTGGTTTCAGTTTTGGAGCCAACAGGTTGAATGTAATTTGCTCTGATGCAATCCTTTTGTCAAATTTTGTATATATATGATAATTTTTGCCTAGATGTACCAGTTCTGGACAGTTTGATATTGATGAAAGAATTTTTTCATTAAAAAAAATAAATTGGGTTCGTTTTTAGAAATATTACACTATTTTTAGGAACCGAAAAAAGTCCAGAACCGAACCGTTTAAACCTTGTTCGGTTTTAAAACGGTTCTGCTTTTTTTTATTAGAACCGAACCGATTTTAAAAATTACATTTTTTAAAACGGTTCTAATAATTTATAACTAGAACCGAACCGGTCCCAGGCCTACTTATCAGTGGGATAAGTATTCACATCCTTGCTGGCTTGGACAACAACCACCTTCATCTTCCATGCTGAGGGCAATCCTCTCAACACCTTGAGGTTGATCTCCTTGGTGGTAAGTTCCTTGCCAAGCTCAGAGATCTCTCCAGTGAGAGTGAGGAGTCTGTCATACATCTTGGAGATGCTTTCACCAGGGAGAAGCTTGAAGTCATCAAACTTCTTGTTGGCTATTGTCAGCTTGTTGTCCTTCTCCTGCTCATCACCAGCTCCAATGAGCTCAAGACTATCCCAGATTTCCTTGGCAGTCTTGCACTTCTTTATCCTGTTGAAGTACCTATCATCGATGGACTTGTAAAGAATGTCTTTAGCAATGTTGTCCAGATTGTACTTCCTTCTTTCTTCAGTAGTCCACTCAGATTTGGCCTTATTGATCATCTGAGGTCTGGTGTTGTCAATAGCATGCTCTGAGTTGACCTTCTGGAAGCTTGTGAAGGGCCCAATGTCAAGTACTTCCCACATCTCATCATGCGGAGCACAGAGATGTGCCTTCATTCGGATCCTCCAGTCATCAAACTTGAGATCTGAGAAAATAAGATTCTTGGAAAGGGAGTAATCCATTATATCAGATTAAAAATGAGGTAAAACAGAAAAACAAGTGGATCTTTGTTCTGCAAATAACCTAAGAGAATATTAGAACAAGGAGGCTCTGATACCACTTGTTGGTCCCGGTTGTACTGGATACAATCTAGAGGGGGTGAATAGATTGTATTGGTTTTTAACTTTTTCAAGCTAAGTATCAGATTTAACAGAATAGCATGTTCTGTTGGCAGAACAGACTGGCAGCGGATGAGGTTCTGGTAGGGGGTTCTATTAGTTTAGCCGCAGAGAAGCAAAGGCAATAGGCCTTCTGTTAACTCACAAGACAAGTTCTGCTGAACACAGATACCAAGTCTTTGGAGTTAAGCAGTTCAAATAAAAGCGATAAATAAAATGCAGTAAGTAAATGACACCAGGGCTTTTTATAGTGGTTCAAGGAATAACTTGTTCCTCTAGCCCACTGTTCCACTAAGCTTGTAAAAACGACCGTTTACAATGCCTTAGCCCTATCACTTAAGAAGCTCTCCACGTCTTCTTCAAGTGTAGATGTCTCCTTGGATGCACTTCTGGCTTTTCTAAGACTGGTCCTTTCACTGAGCTTTCCCGGAAGTATCACCACTTCACTGCTCCAGGTACTTGGACGTCCTTCTTGTGAAAGAAGAGTTTCTGTTAAAAACAGGGGTTCCTCCAACTTGCTTCGTTACAAAAGGTTTGTATATGAAGTGCTTGAAGAATTGAAGAACGATGAGAACTTTGCTTGAGTTGGAAGTAGGAAGCTTTCCAACGTCTGCCTTCTCTTGTAGAAGATAATGAAGATTTAATCTCTAGGAGGCTTTTTGCGTTTTTAGCGTTTGAATATTTTGTATGCGCACTGTGGTAGCAAAGTTATCTGGTTGTTCTTCGAAGTGTATCTTTTATACTGAAGTTGTCTTCCCGTTGGAGGAGAAGGAGGACAACTGCATTAAATGAGCGAGCAGTTGACTTGCCCAGTAGGACCCAGCAAAGTTGGCGGGTTACTATTTCGGGATAAAGCTATCCTGACATTGCGGCCAATCATCTGCAATTACTCTACAGAGTACGAGAGGCATTAAATGTGCATTTAATGCGCGTACTGTAGCTTTTCCGTTCAAGACTCCTAGCCGTTGAAGGAATCTTTCAGTTGATTTACCGACTGGGTGAGATTCTTCTAAGTGTCAGGCCTTCTGGTGTCTTTAGCAGAGAGTTGATAAGAGAAGGCCTTGAGCACTTCTGTTGAGAGTTTCTGTTGAAGAAATATCCAGTAGAGAACCAGGAGGGTTTCTGTCAGAGTAAAGGCTAACAGAGACCCTGAGGTCTTCTGTTCTGGAGCAGAGAACCAAAGGTCTTCTATTAAAACTAAGCCTTATCAAGGGTCCTCTGTCAGGGGATCTTCTGTTCTGGAGGCCTTCTGCTCTGGAGGCCTTCTGCTCTGGAGGCCTTCTGCCAGTCGATTATACTAAAGAACTTTACAAGGAAAATTCTAATACATTAAATCTAAAGAGGGGTACTCTAAAGTCCTAATTAATATAGCATCATCAAAATCTAATTACAAATATTCCTTACATTGTTGATGACTAAACCTCTCACAGGAACAAGGAATGGAACTATCCTATGGTCCAAACAAATGTTTATGATTATCTGACCATGCAGGTGAACCATAGGATAGAACTCTCATTTATCCAAAGGATAGACACTATATTTAGTTTTATGAATATAATAATTAGCATGAATGATGAATGCGTACATGATAAACCTATGCTCTAATATCATTGATACTACGTGGCTTAATAAACATCTCTTTCCATGCGTATTTAATCACTCGCGTAAATGAGTTAACTAATATGGCTTAAGTGCTTATGGAAAGAATCATTACCTTTACTATACAAGAATCTTGCGGGTGGTAGCTTAATTGAATATGCTAAGAAAATGTTTCCTTAAACACACCTGTGCGAAGATCTTTTTAAAGAAGGAGAGAGTCTGTTTCATGGTTCAATATGTTAAGAATATGTGCTATTACTTGAGTGAATGATTGACCGTGCATAGTGATAGTTAATATATGCTATATTAAATAAGGTTATTTTCCATACTCTTCCTTACTTATGTGAATATTTAAGAGCATATCTTTGCAAGAATAATCTAAGCCATGAAAGGAAAGCAATTCAAAATATCAAGACAAGACCCAAAATTGGAAGGACAACTATCCAAGGAAGGATGCACAAACGGCCTGCCTTAAGACAACTATATATATAGGGCGGAAGATTAAGAGAAGAGTGTGCTTGAACGAGCAAGTACAAAGAGAAGCACTTACAAAGAATATCAAGTCCAAGTCACCTGGACCTATGCACGAAGTTCTAGATAGAGTTTCATCTCCCTTCTTGATTTTGTGATTGAATTTTGAGGAAAAACTAAAGTGTAGCTTCCTCGGGTTGGGGTCGTGTGTGTGAGAGCTTTGTTCTAAAGCTGAGAGGCTCTCTACCCGCAAGGTAGAGATGCATAACTCTTCCTAGAGAGGTTAGAGTTGGGGTGGCTCAAGGGTAGATTAGGAGAATTTACCTTGTAACCACAAAAGGCTTTTTAGTGAAGTTATTTAAAATTCCTCCGAGGGAGGTCGAGGTTTTTTAATCCCTTTGAGCCAAGGGATTTTTCCTCGTTAAATTTTTGTGCACTTTACTATTTCGCAATTCCCTGAACCCTACACTAGAACTGTGCGAAAAACTGGCACGGTTCCACACAAACACAATTCTACTCCATCCGTTTCTTCCACATTCCAAACTAGACTAAACTGAGCACAATTTACTCACGAATCTGCAATTTTCATATACAATCAACATGAAAACTTCAATTTCACTGTATAATGATCTTGCTTCCGTGAATCCTGTTTTCCAAAACCTACCTTCTTCCAAAAGCTTCATTTTCCTTTTGTTCAGCCGCAAGACCACACCTTCTTCCAATCCGTAAGCTTTTCCACTTCTCTTTTCAGCCGCACCCAGAAACAGTTTGCCTACACCATCCAACCCCCAATCGCAGTGGAAGAGGATGGTGGTTTTGCTAAGAAGAAGACTTTTGGTCAAACGAACCGTTGAAACCTGCCTTCACTCATTCTCTTCTTCAGCCGCACCCCCATACTTATTCGCCTGCACCAGCCAATCCCCAACCACGGTGGAAGAATATTTTTCTTAGGCGAAGTTTGGTTGAATGAATTATTATCAACTGCTCATTCACATAACTTTGAAATCGGGTTTCTACGATTGGAATTTATTAGAGGATGTCAATAATTCAAAAGGTGCAGTATGCCCTCACAGTAATATGCAATTGATGACCTCAAGACCCGCCTATAATCTACTCCCTCCGTCCCATAAAATAAGTCCCATTTCAATTTGGATCGGAGTTTACAAAAGTGGGAATAAAGTGGAAATGTATGGTTGTGGTTGAGTAAGAAGAAGGTAAATGAATGTTAGCCACACAAAACTTTCCAAAAAGGGAAATGAGAACAAATTTTTTGGGACGACCCAAAAAGGAAAATGGGACTTATTTTATGGGACGGATGAAGTAACAAATATAGATCGTTGTCTGCGAATCCCGAGTCAATCAAAAAGAAGGAAAATGAAGTGTAAATGAAAGTGCGGAGAAAAGTGAAGTGTATAATGGTAAGTGGGATGGGGTTTGTCGAGCCACAAGGATGTCATGTAAGTGAGTGCAACGATCGAATAGGCAAATGTGTCACTAAAGTGGAGCAAACGAAACTATAACGCAAACATGATCAAGAGGAGATGCTAAATGAGTTAAACTACGAAATAAAGATGCAAAAGGTGTCGAGGTAATGTTTGGAACTCACATTGCAATTGAAGGTTGGACAAAATAGTATTTGAACTTTATTACAAGAAAGAGAGTGCACAACGGTTCCTCCGCCACTCTCGTGGTCGTAGGATCGGTCAATAGACAATCTTGGCCACTCTCATGGTCCAGAACCGCCTACTGATGCCAACGAAAATGATCCAAAGCAAAGAAGCCCCCTAAGCCCGACACTCTCATGGTCGTGCCTAGGTGTGTGTGAAAGGGGCAAATGAATATCTGATTCTCATCTAAATATTCCCAAATAATTAAATACAAGATTTCTCAAAATTGTAATCCCTCCGCCCTCAAAGTTTGTCATAGTTTGACTTCACAAGTTTTAAGGAGATGAATTTGACTTTACACTGCAGCGACACTGTTTCACACTGTAGCGACACTGTTTGGCATTGTTTGACACTGTTTTGCATTGTTTGGCACTGTTTGGTATATATTTTTTTTACCAAATAATGAAGTTAACAAAGTAGGACAAACATTTTGGGACATCCGTTTCGGGAAAGTGTGACAAACTTTAAGGGACAGAAGGAGTATTAATTAAAGTCATTGAGGCATTTTGACAAACACATTTCAAGCAATAAAATTCAATACTAGTCATCCAACATTTCAATCACATAAATATGCTCCAAACAGCCCCCTAACCCATCTAACTACTCATGCATTGAAAATAAAATAAGAACATTAACATAAAAGTGCGTAAATAAAACTAAAGACTTAAACTTTAAATTTAAATAAAGTAATAAGTGTAAAAGAATACCCCATATAAAGATGAGAAGCAATACATTGAAATGCAAGTAGAAAGCTTGAATCTTGGAAGAGAAAATCTCTACAAATCTACACTAATGCTGGAGAGATGAAATGTAAAAAGGCTAATAAATGTAAAATCTATTGTAATGTGACTTCTCTAATGGCTCCCTCTTGAACTGACCAGCAAGGCTTGTATTTATGGTCTAAAATTCGGACTTGGCAAATGACTCATAAGGGCGGCATTTTCCGGAAATTAAAAGAAGGCTGGTGGGGGCATTTTAGTCTTTCTGCGCCTCAAATTAGATTAGGGCTGCACCCTTTCTCTTCTCCTTCGTACGCAGCGGCTCTTTCTTCTCGGAATCGAGGCACGCCAGCGAGGACTGGACAGGAGTTTGGCTGCAGCTTCTTGTCCGTTCTTATTCTCTCTCATTCGTCCTCTGCTGTGAAAGAATCGACAACTCCGGCAGATTGGTAGGGACAGAGATATGTGGTGGTGATTGGTGGTGCAGAGTACGGCGGTCGGCATCTGGGGACGACGTCCACATTATTGTTCTCTACTCTCCTGCTAGATTTCCGGCGAGGCATGATTCCCTGGCTTGCTGGCTCGCTGGTCAGTTCCTGTACCGGTCCAGAGATAACCGGCTGGGAGTGCGGGTTGACTGACGATTGACTGGTCAACTATATCTTGACCTGGGATTGACCATGTGTGTTCTCGGTCTTCATTTACACTCCGGAATGCTCCTAAGTCTTCACAAACACATAAAATGAACAACATAACGTTTAGTAGCACCCGCTATTAAAATAAGACCGATACTATAACAATTCAAAGCAAAATCAATCCAAAGACCAATAAAAAATGGGATGAAACAGTGATTAAAATATGGAAAATTAAGCGTTATCAGCAATGCTACCGTGTGTATTGTGTTTATAGAGGATTTTTAAACAATAGCCTTTGATATATTCAATCTCCCGATCTTATTGCTGATACTCTTTATTTTTCATTTCATATATCCTCTGTTTAAACCACATGTTAACACTTATGTATTACAACGGTTGTCTTCATTGTACAACGTTGGCTAAAATACATGCCCTGTTGGAATATCTCCTTGGATTGCAACACACACAAATGACAACAACTCACACACACAGTGTATCACGTATGAACAATACTTGGATTTCACACCAAACTATTTTGTGTGATTGATAATTTTCTTGAGGAGGAAAAACCCAGTACATGGATCAGAAAAAACCTCCAACTCCACCTCTTAATACATACAACTCGAGAATGGGATGTGCAGTTGAGATAAAATAGGAACCACTACACCTATATGCATGCATGATCACTTGACTAATTCACACACACGTACATGACTATTTTTGTGACTTATTTAAATACTAAATGCAACAACCATATGTAATACTTAAATATGACCCAAATTAAACATAAAACAAGTTTAAAATAAATGCTGACTAGCACACACCCCCTTAAACTTGTTTTTACTTTCTCCTCGGCCCTTTTCAACCTTCATTCGAATCTTGTTCCTTAACTCATTGAATCTTTTCTTTCCAAGAGGCTTGGTCAATATGTCTGCTAGCTGGATTTCAGTTTTAGTATATTCAAGTTGTATAGCTCCCCTTTCTACACACTCCCTGATGAAGTGAAAACGTGTATCAATATGTTTGCTTCTTTCATGAAAAACCGGGTTCTTAGCTAAAGCTGTGGCAGACTTGTTGTCAATTTTCAGTATTGGTCTTTCATTTAATTTCCCCAACAGACTTTCAAGTAACTTCATGAGCCAAATGCCTTGACAAGCCCCTCCAGTTCTTGCAATATACTCTGCCTCACATGAAGAAAGAGCCACTATCCTTTGTTTCTGAGACACCCGTGTAATTGGACTGTCACCTAAGAAATAAAGTATTCCTGTGGTGCTCTTTCTATCATCTACATCTCATGCTAAGTCACTGACACAATAGCCTACCAAGCCTTGGTCACCTTGCCCCCTCCTATACACACATCCCACATCAATTGTACCCTTTACATACCTCAGTATTTGTTTAACAACATTCATGTGTGTAATAGAGGGTGCTTCCATATACCTGCTAACAATTCCAACTGAATAGGCTAGATCAAGTCGTGTATTGACAAGGTACCTTAGGCTCCCAACGATGTTTCTGTAAACAGTTGGATCCACAATGAGTTCCCCATCATACTTGCTGAGCTTGCTTCTTGGCTCCATGGGAATGCAGCATGGGTTACAGTCTGTCATTCCCATTTTTCAGTATCTTCTTTGCATAGCTTGATTGACACAAGCTGATAGTCCCCTTACTTTGTTTCACTTCTATTCCCAAGTAGTAGCATAGGTATCCTAGATCACTCATCTCAAACTGTTTCTTCATTTCTTCTTTAAACTCACATATGAGCTTTGAGCATGATCATGTGAGTATTATGTCATCAACATACACTCCTACAATGATGACACGCACTTCAGTTCTCTTGATGTATACAACATGTTCAAAAATGCATTTTCTGAACCCCTATGACTTCAAGCATCTGTCAAGCTTTTCATTCCATGCCCTTGGGGCCTGCTTCAGCACATACAGTGCCTTATGCAGTTTCAACACTTTGTTTGGATTTTCATGATCAGTGAGACCTTCTGGCTGTTGAACATACACCTCCTCTCTCAGTTCTCCATTAAGAAATGATGTCTTTACATCAAGGTGGTGCACTTTCCACTCTTTATGTGCTGCAAGAGCTAATATGGTCCTGATTGTCTCCAGTCTGGCTACAGGAGCAAACACCTCAGTATAATCAACTCCATATCTCTATATGTACCCTTTACCTACTAATCTGACCTTGTATTTTATGATGTTGCCCTCTGGATCCTTCTTTAGCTTGTAAATCCATTTCAGACCTATGACCTTGTGCTTGTTGGGCAGATATGCCATTTTCCATGTTCCATTTTTCCGAATGGAATCAACTTGAAGTGCCATTGCCTCCCTCCACTTCTCATGATCTGCAGCTTCTCAGTAATCAGTTGGTTCTTCAATAGATAGAAAACACAGGCTTACCTCTTCATTTACATCCCTAGTTGCATCATAAATCTCTTGTAGGGATCTGAAATGCAGAGGTCTTCCACTTGAGTCAGTACTATCATAGGATCTAGGTGTTCCCATGGAAGAATCATGTTGAAAGTACACATTGTCACCACTTTCATCTCCTGAGTGTGATGTGTGATGATCAATATTCTCATCATGTACCTCTCCATTCACATGAACTGTGAAGATGTCCTTTGTTTCTTCTTCATGTTTGGCATTTCTGTTCTCCCAAAACCATCTTTTCTCCTCTTCAAATTTTACATCTCTACTTATTAGAATTCTCCCCTTAAGTGGGTCTAGAAGTCTATAAGCTTTGGATCCCTCCTCATACCCAAGTAGGATGGCTTTGATGCTTCTGTCAGCTAACTTATCCAGGTGTGGTTTTACAACCTTAACATGTGCCAGACACTAGGGCTGGATTCGGTTCGGGTCCCGAACCAATCCTGTGTAAGTTCAAACTAAACCGATTTATCGGTTATCCAAACTACCCTAACCGACATCGAACCAATAGTGGAACGGGTACCAATTTTTTGGGAACCGATTTTTCGGGTCGGTTCATCAAAAACCGAAAACAAAACTGACTGTTGCATTAAAATAAAAGAAAATAAAAGAAAATTACACTACAATTCAATGGTTCAAGCCCAATACACCTTGGTTGAAGGATTTATAGCCCACTAAGGACCACTTAACTACTAAACTTGAGTAGTGTGTAACCTCATTCGGTCACAACATTGTGTGTGAGCTAATGCCTTGTTATATAGATGTGTGGGAGGACAAGTATTCTTTTTCTTCCGGTGTGAGACAAAGTAGGATGGGAGAGAAAAATAAAATCTAAAACTGAAGCGATAAAAATAAATTAAACGGCGTGGCTGGGAATCGAACTCATGACGCTCAGTAAACTTACGAATTGCAAGACCCATCCTACCAAAGCTTCCAATACATTTGAATGTGACTCCGACCTTATTTATACCTTCTCTGCACGTCATTAACTATATAAATATTAAAAATAAAAATTATTATTATTATTAAAAATCGGTTCGGTTCGGTCCAAACCGATATTTTGAATATATAAACCGATACCGAACCAATTTTTTGTTGGGTCCCATTTTTCGGGTCTCAAAATTTATCGATTCGGTCCGGTTCGGTTTTCTTTCAATGCGGTTCGGTTATTTTCGGTTTGGTTTTCGGTTTTTCGGTTCAAAATGCCAGCCCTACCAGACACCCAAACACACGTAGGTGTTGTATATTTGGGGTCCTTCCATGCCAAGCTTGATAAGGTGTCATACCCTCAACACTCTTTGTTGGAGCTCTGTTCAATCAGTACACTGAGATGTTGATTCCCTCACCCCAGTACTTTGCAGGCATGCACTTGCTCTTCATCAAGCTTCTTGTCATTTCAATAACAATTTGGTTTCTCCTCTCCACTACTCCATTCTGTTGCGGTGAGTATGGGGCAGTCAAGTATCTTGTTACTCCTTCTTTCTCACAGAAATCTTTAAAGTCTTGTGAATTGAATTCACCTCCCCTATCTGTCCTCAGACATCTTATTTTCTTGTCAGCCTCATTCTCCATTTTGTGCTTTAGTTTCTTGAACCCTTCAAGTGCATCACTTTTATGCTTTAGTAGTGAGACCCACATATAGCGTGAGTGATCATCTACTAGCGGCATAAAGTAAGATTTCCCCCCAAGTGTGGGTGGTGAAATTGGTCCACACAAGTCTCCATGAACCAACTCAAGTTTTTCTTTAGCTCTAAACTCTGCTTTCTGAGGAAACTTTGTTCTATGTTGCTTGCCTATCATACATCCATCACAAACCTGATTGCTTTGAGTAATTTCAGGCATTCCTTCCACCATTTCCAGGTTTGTGAGTTTCTTTAATGCCTGAAAGTTAAGGTGACCATACCTAGCATGCCAGAGCCAACTTAGATTTTCAATGCTAGACAGTAAACATACTTTCTCAGCAAGTTTCATATTCACTATGAATAACTTGTTGTGTCCCCTTTTCACTTTGATCATAAGCCTGTTGGACTCATCATAGATTTTCAGTGTTCCTTCCTTTATGACAACTTGGCTACCAGATTCATCAAGTTGTCCAAGGCTTATGATATTACTTCTCAATTTTGGTATGAAGTATACATTGTTCAAAATCATATGCTCTCCATTTCTGCATTGGAAGAGCACAGATCCCAGCCCTTGTATATTTATCATAGGATTATCTCCAAATCTTACCTTCCCATGTATTGATGTGTCAAGTTCTGAGAAGAATCTCCTGTTGACAGTCATGTGATTACTTGCTCCAGTGTCCAAGTACCACCAGGATTCTGACTTATCTTCCTGAACTCCATCAATTACTTTGCCCTGGCCTTGGGAGTTGTGTGACTCAGTCAATTCACATATTTCCACCATCAGTAATGAGGGTTGTTCAGTTTCCTCATCTTCAGCCAAGTGAACCTCTTCTTCTTGGTCATTTGATTTACACTCATATGCAAAGTGTCCCATCTTTCCACAAGCATAGCATTTGATCTTTGCCTTGTCAAATTTTCTTTTCTATTTAGACTCTTCTTTCTCTCCATGTGAACCAGCATTCCCCCTTCCTCTGCCACGACCTCTACCCCTTCCTCTTGAGGTGGTTTGATCCCTATTGTTCTTAGAATGTGGCTTTGTGTTTTCTCTGGCTTCCCACT